TAGAATTTTTTTTGTCTCATTTGCTTCCATATAACGACTAAACACAACTTATTTTTATATGGCAGAAACCCGCAACATCCTCGGCGAAAAAAATTCTAAAAAACAGGGTTCGTATTTGCACACACATGCTCTGCTCACACACACGCCAGAAACACATTCAACTGGTACTCACTGCTCATACACATGTGTGTGCATAAGTGGAATACAAACTCTGCTCACAGAAAAGTGTGTGCTGTTTGTTATTAAGCACATGCACATGTGTGTGAGCCGATTTTTGTACAAATTTCAGCCCATGCACATGCACATAATATATTTTTAAAAGAATTTGTTTATTAAACGTTATTTTTTGAAAGACAATTCAATAAAAAGTGAGATGTTGTTTGTTTTTTATATGACAGAAAACATACTAAAAAATTATTTTAAGATTTGAGATAGAAATCGAAGTGTATAAGTTTCTCTACACAAAGCACACACATGTGCGTGTGATTTATATTAATAAAAATAAAGTACACACATGTGCCCGTGCTATTTACCAAACGGCACACACATGTGATGTGAGCAAGTTTTTAATTTTTTATATGCACAGCACACGTGTGTGAGCGTAAAATGTTAGGATGTGCTGCGCATGTGTGTGCAAATACGAACCCTGCTAAAAAATCAAAAGTAATTTTTAGCCACTTGAAACTTGCACATTATTAGACTAAAATTGAATGGGCTATACAACTGTGTATTCAAAAAAATTCTACCGCTTCTGAGAAAAAAGTTTGAAATTTGGGTGAAAATTTGTTGCACTTTTTTGCGGTCTTTTAAAAAGTTTTAAACTTAAGTTTATGTGAGTTTTGTGAGAGAATGAACTGTATTTTAATGGAAAATTCTTAAAAATAAATAAATAAACATGAGTGGCAAACAATATCACTTTGAAATGGGGGTGCTATTGTATTGGCCAATACTGTATGTACGTGCATATGTATGTATATCATTTTTCGACAGTGAAGCACACTACTTATTCGCAAATCCTTAGGGCCGTTTTAACAAATCAATATAACTCTCGCTCGGCAGTTAACTAACTAATATACGTAAACTCCGCCCTCGGAAAACAGCTGTTATTCATCAACAAATTGTTTAAAACCGCATAGAAAAGAGCTTTCAATTTATTTTATAAAAATTCCTTTTTTATTGGATACGACATACACTTACATTAAAAAAAGTAGTACCTAAAAAATATAATGTTTAACTATTTAGGGAAATCTGATTCTCCTGAATCGATGCATCCTACAAAATGTTACATGCATACCTACATATGTATGTATGTGTGAGTTGAATACATACAGACACACCTCAATAGCGCCGTTAATCTCTTTTTCTTAATGACCGCAATGAACGTGTGAATATTTACGATTATGAACGCTTTAAATAATATTTTAAGTGGTTAAAATAACGTTTGCGTACATATACAATATATGTACTACTACTATAAACATACATATGTACATACGTTTATATGTGCGTATTAACTACCTGCATGCCGTAATTTCATTTAAGTGGAAAGAAAACTGAACTTACACGGGCTATTAGTGTTGAAAAGTGAGTTGTGTAGCGGTAAAATGCGGTCGGTCACTAACCTCATTAACAATGAAAAACTGACCAAAAACAATAACAAAGTGACAACAAAAAACAAAAAAGAAGAATATATATATAACTTAATACGTAAAGGCAAAATAAGCACAGGCCACACACATTTTTGCCAGAAAAGCGGATTTTAAAGCGAAGCGATATTGTAATTTTATAGTAACATATTGAAATGGATCGAAAAAAAAAATTATAAATGATAATAAACATCTGACAAATAACGATTTCAATTTCAGTAGATGTTAGTAATTAACCCAGCATTTGTACAAATGGAGAAATTTTGGGCGCTTCCTCTTAAAGAAATTTGTGGACATCAAAAACAGTCCTGCATTGTTGTATCACAAATGAAAAAAGGAAACAGAAACTATGAAGAAAACTTTTTTTCCTAGTTTAGGGCGGGGCTAGGGCACAAGTAAGGGTAACATAAGTTGTTTTATTTTCAAGTTTTTATATTTGTTAAAAAAACGAAACATAATTGATTGATAGAGTTTGGCCCTAAAGCCTTTCTCAGAGCTCATTCTCAGATTTAGTATATTTTTCTTTGTAAGTCTAAGCATCCGGTCGCTTATTTTTTAAATAGCGAATTTGTGTAGTTATTTTGCATGCACCTAGTTACCCGTCCTAGTGTTCTTTAGTCAGCCGGCTCAAAAAGAATGCGCCCGTTTGATTGCTTGCACGAGTAGCGTGTTTGTTCCCGAGATTGGCGAAATTGTTTGCACAACAAATTATCCCTTCACTGTTTAAGTTTCACATCCGCAGATAACTAACTTAATTACAGTGTCGATTTGTTACACATGAATAATTTTCTAATTTCAATTTCATGTTTTTCCCATCACTCAATTCCTCAAAATTAATTAAAATACGCCAACACTATATACAAATATTTATATGTACGTTTTTTTTTTTTTTTTTTTTTTTT